ATTCACTGTCCAGCTTTCAACAACAGTTGTTGTTAAGTGTCATCGCGTCGATTCTGACCCATAGTGACCCTGTATAGGGTTTCTGAAGAGCAGCTGGTGACTTTGAATCACCAACCTTGCAGTTCAAACGGCTTTGCAGTCTAGCGCATTAACCCACAGCGGCACACCAGGACTCCAACAACAGTAACAACTTAAAAACAAAAACTACCAACTGCCTATCCACAGTGCTACATATATTAGTGTATTTCAGGGAACTGAAAAGCTAAAAGGTCCTAGGAAACTTTGGCTTGACTTTTAGTTCAAGACTTAGACTTTCTGTCCTGTGATTTTCTAGTTATTATGTAATACATGGGAATCCTAGTGTCACAAGCACTGGACTGACTGTTAACCATAAGGTTGGCAGTTCAAAGTCACCAAAGTTGCTGTAAGTAGGAAACGACTCAATGACACATCACAACAACAATGCAGAAAACATAAGGAGGGCTGGTGTAGCTATGCGTTAAGCATTGGGCTGCTAACCACAAGGTCAATGGTTCAAGCCTACTAGCTACTCTTTACTACCATAGATTTACACTCTGGAACCTTAAGAAGTCGATTTACTCTGTCTGCAGGAGAAAGAGGAGACTTTCTGCTCCCATAAAAATTTACAGCCTTGGAAATCCTATGCAGGGTCGCTATGAGTCGGAACTGACTCACTCCACAGCACATAACCACCACCGCCGCCACTTTGGCCTCCACAGGGCAGTCAGAATGGACACACTGGCAGTAGGTTTGGGTTGGGTTTGGATGTAACACATCCAATATCATTATCAAGTCCATGTTCCATCTCCAGACAAAATACCAAGCAACATTCTATATCGATTCCAAATGCTCACTCCCTACTTGAAGTGTATATATGCTGTTGTTAAGTACCGTGGAGTCAGTTCCAACTCGCAGTGACCCTGCACAGGGTTTCCAAGGCTGTAAATCTTTACGGGAGCAGAAAGCCTCATCTTTCTCCTGTAGAACCGCTGGTAGTTTCGAACTGCTGACTGTGAGGTTGGCAGCCCAACTCGTAACCACTACACTACCAGAGCTCCTTAAAGTGTATAGATAAGCATTGGAAAAAGGACATTAGAGTTTTACAGAATCTTTTAAAGAAGTCAGGCCATACATAACAATAACTAGGTAGCATTTATTGATTACTGTACGAAGAAGCACTTTCCATACATTAATTTTCCCCAAAATAAACAAGTTACCAGTAGCTACTATTTCAAACTCCATTTTACAAAAGAAGAAATTAAGAAACAGAGAAGGTTAAGTCATCTTTCCAAGATCAGTGGTGAAGCTGGGATTCAAAACCAGCCAGTTGTGCACCAGAGTGCAGACTCCATATTTCCAACATACCTGATAACCAATCAATCTACCTTCCAACCTCTCCATACTTCTTAACAAATAAATGATTCCTCAAAAATATACAGGCATATGAACCAGAGATGCGCATCTTATCTCTGTCTTCTTATATACAAAGTAAGTAAAAACTTAACCAAAGAAAACAATAATGCTGTTGTTGTTGTTGCTAAGTACCACTGAGTAGGTTTCGACTCACAGTGATCCTGTATGGGGTTTCAGAAGATCATCTGGTGTGTTTGAACTGCTGATGTTGTGGTTCGCAGTCCAGTGCTGATCCTACAGTGCCATACCAGGAATCCAAAGATAACTATGTTGTTGTTGTCAAGTGCCGTTGAGTTGGTGCCGACTCATAGTGACACTGGAAAGGGTTTCCGAAGAGCTGCTGGTGAGTTTGAACTGTTGAACTTGTGGTTCATACCAAGCTTGTGGTCAAGTGCTTTATCCTATAGCACCACACCAGGACTCCAAAGATAACTATGTTGTTGTAAATGCCATTGAGTTGGTTCCTACTCATAGATAACTACGCTGTTGTTGTTTCGGGCCCTGGAATTGGTTCTGACTCATAGTGACCCTGTACAGGGTTTCCGAGGCTGTAAATCTTTAGAGGAGCAGAACGCCTCATCTTTCTCCCATGGAACGGCTGGCAGTTTTGAAATGCCGACCTTGAGGTTGGCAGCCCTATTTGTAACCACTACACTACCAGAGCTCCTTACAGATAACTATATGAATCAGCAAATTCAAGAGTCCTGGTGTGGTGCTGTGGGTTAATGCATCAGACTGCAAAGTCATTTGAACTACAAGGTCAGTGGTTCAAGCTCACCAGCTGCTCCTTGGAAACCCTACACAGGGTCACTATGTGTCGGAATTGACTCAACGGCACTTAACAACAACAACAATGAATCAATCTTAATAATAATGCATTTGAATTTTTATATAAAACCTGAAATCTAGGTTCATTATGAAAAGCTCCTTTAAAAAGTTCTTCCCTTTAACTGTAATGACCTGTCCAGAAGCAAGATGTTTTCTTTGCAGATCCACCAGGTAGGTCATCATTTCTCGAGAGTTCTTCACAGTCTTCTGATTGTTTTTCGTGTCTTACTATTTTCAAAATCAAATCAAACCTGCTGACCAGTCATAAGGACCCTATACAGATCAGAGTAGAGACCTGGTGTGGTGCTTCTTCAGGATAATGCACTACACCACAAGATTGGTTTGAACTACAAGATTAGCAGTTCAAACTTACCAGCTGCTCCTCTGAAACCATATGCAGGGTCGCTATGAGTCAGAAATTAACTAGATGGCACTTAACAACAATAACATAGATCAGAGTAGAGCTGTTCCCTAAAATTTCCAAGGCTCTAAGTCTTCACGGGAATAAGACCACCTCATCTTTCACCCATGGAACTGCTGATGGATTTGAACCACCAACCTTTTTGTTAGTAACTCAACACTTTACCCACGGAACCAGGGCTCCTTATTTCTATTACCAGAAGACTGAAAGCCAAGTAGTGCCCCAAAATTCTTTAGAGGTTTTCTTTTTTAATGACCTGAGGAGGACAGTGCAAGAGTATCTGTTATAATTACTTGTATTACTAGATGTGGTTTTAGTATGTCATTCATTCACTGTATCGAAAATGTACTATATATTGCAAGAATTACGATTCTAACTCTTCATTCCAGAGGATTTTTCAAGTTAACGCTGTAGACAAAACACCAAGTAGAGTAAGAATTTTATTCAAAGAAAAACCATGCCTTGTAAGTTATATATACAAAGAGGAAGTAAGAGGCCCAACAAAAGGAGCACAAAAGAATTAACAAAAGAGGAAGATTGGGATAAAATTACATATTCAATAGTATGCAATTATACTATTCAATAGTGGTTTATTCAATAGTGCTTTATGAATGTTATTCTAGAAAGTGGCCTTTCAAACTTTCCACCATAAACATACATACACACACCTCTGAAATGGTATTTTTCACAAATCATTATTTACCCATACTGTCTACATTGTAGTCTGATTTTTGAGTGATAATGATGACGTACTAAATTGAATTCATGGTTCACCAATGAATCACAGCCCGGAATTTGAAAACCTCCGTTCTAAAAGAATCACAACATGTCAGAAGCTAGAAAAATAAAGTTGCTAAACGACAGTCTTGATAGACTAATCACACCCCAATAGCATCAAATAACATTTCTGGGTGATTTGAAACAAAAGTCAAACATTACAAAGAGTTTCTAGTAACAACTGCATTATGAGTCACTTTCTAATTAAGATGAGCAGTAACAGTAAGAAGCAAAAGAGGAGAAATACATGCATAAAACACTGGAATAAACCTCATCAGCTGTCATCTCCATTTCACAAATTACAAAGAGAAAGCCTTTAACCAAACATAGGAACAAAGTACCCAGTCTCCAGGATTTCCTAAACTATTCTGATCCTAACTAATCTTCCATTAGAATGTTAAGATGAGCTACAGAGAAAAAGTAGGAGGGAGGTGGTCTGTGGACCACTGAGGATGTGTATCAATACCAGGTTAACTCCTGACCTGGGTTAGCCAGAACGGTCAATGCAAATCAGAACAGTCTTTGAACTAGGGACATTTGTGGGACAACCACATGGGGCAGAAAGAAATGTATTCTGAAACTGCCAGCAATATCTAGTCAAGCACCTTAGAGGGCCATTGTGTAACACAAGAGTATCGAGACAGGTTATGACTGACAAGTAACTGAGGAAACAGAAAAATGAGGAGTAACTTCATAGCAAATAATGTTTATTCTCCAGAAAGGGTGTAGACCATCTTTTTGATTGAGAAAAGTCTGGTCACTAGAAATGTAGGAGTTTTTACATTGGTAAAAGTTAGCCTGATAACCTGAAAGTCCCTTCCAACTCTGACAAATCAGTAATCATTAAGGCTAAATTCCAACATCAAGTAACTTTTTTTTTTTTTCCGTGAAGGTCAGGCCAACCCATTCAAATCAGACGCTATACAATTCAGGGTGGGGAATGTAAATATTTCATATTCAAAATAGTCACTGGGTTTCACAGGTGTGTACACATGTCAACATATCAAATTATAAACTTCAAATATGTGAGACTTATTGTTATGTAAAGCTTGCCTCCATAAACCTGTAAAAATACTATCAGCAGCTCTCTGTCACAAATGACTTCAATCTACTGAACAAAATTTGATCAACATTATAGCTGCTTCCCAATATTTTCTGATTTTCTTTTTCAAATTTATGTTCACGTGTATTGATGTCATAGTACTTCTGTGTCACCTTCCTAAACCAAGTGGAGGAACCAAACTCTAACTAGAAGCTAAATGTTTCTGCTGTCATTCCAATGACTCACTGTTATGTTAGAGAGTGTATCTTTCCTTAATAACTTTAATCATAGTTGGAAAATCTGCAAATGCCTTAGTGATTTTATTTCCTCCTTTCTATTTAGTTAAGGAAACTCATTCCTGGGCCATGTCTACATCCATGCTATCATCTTAATGGTCCAACATTCATTTTCTTTCTTCTATTATTTTGCATGAAGCGATCTGAAATAAAACCTTTAAAACAAAGTTACGAAAGAATTGAAAGCAACAAGACTACTCACATCAGATTTCGAGGACATGTTCTCCTCCACATCTGAGTCATTGGGATCCACAATATCATCAAATGGTGGTAATGTTGATTTCTTTTTCTCTGATGTCTCACTACTTTCAATTTTGACCTTTCCCATCTTGACATGAGATTTATCTTTTATCTGTTTTTTGTCAGCAGAACAAGTGAGTATCAGTGGCGGTGCACTTGAAAAACTTTTAAATAAAGCCTCTGAGCTACTCTTTTTCCTTTTTTTGGCTGAGAGTTCTTCAGACTCAGAAATGGGAGGCCTTTTACTAGGAGCCTTCTTATCTTGCTGTCCACTGGTGATGGTGAGCAAGTTACTGTCTGGTTTTGGCTCTTTTGACATGGGTTTAGGTTCCTTGAAGGCCATTTTAGGAACGATTTTTTCTTCTTTCAGTGGTTTATTTTCTTTGGGTTTCTTTGAGGATTCTTTGGAAGATTTGTTGTGATCCCTGGAAGGTTCTTTGAAGGCACTTTTATGTTCTCTGGAGTCTTTAGAAGGTTTTTCCTTGTGCTCCTTCATTAATTTGTGAGGCTTTGAAAAACTGGTACTGCTGCTGCTACTGCTGCAACTACTGCTGCTACTGCAACTACTGCTGCTGCTACTGCAACTGCTGCTGCTACTGCAACTGCTGCTGCTGGTATGGACACTCCTATTGGGATCCTGCAAGAAAACAAACCAGAAAGAAATGAGACCCTCCATGCTGCACACATGAAGAGGCAACAAATTGCATACAACGACCCTCCTTCTTATTGTTTTGAAACTGGTTTTTCTATAAACCAACTACCAGAATGCATTGAGCAGGAAAGGTCAATGTGAGAATCCGGGGATCGTTACTGTAACAAGGCTTTCAATGCAGCCAGCACGCTGCTTCTCAGTCATTAGGAGCACGGAGTTTTAAAGCATTTCAGCTCAACAAATGTGAAACAAATGCCTGTTCTAGAAGCTACAAAGCTGGATCACACACAGCCCCCACCCATAATAACGATCTGGATTTATGGTTCATACTGGCTGTGAGAACCACCTGTAAAATGCTATGACAACAAAACACCAAAACAACACAACAACAAAAACCCGCTGCCATACAGTGGATCCCAACGATAAGACGTCGGGGAATAATTAATGCTGTTGGGAACCTAGAAAAGAATCATTCAGGAAGTTAGAGAGGCAAATTGATAGAGATTTACAGAGAACTGGGTCCTAGCGGCTATGCCAGTAATTACCAGAGAGAGAACAATCAAGTGGTAGTTGGATGAGTTGAGACAATAAAGCAGCAAAATGCAAACTTCAACAATTTCATTGAAAAAAATCCATTATCTTTTCATTGCCTACTCCCATGGAGTGTTTGATATATCAGGAATATCAACCAGCTACACCACAAGACTGAGAGGGAAACAGACAAGTAGTCCAGCATCACATAACAAGGTCAGGTACAGTTACGTATTAAATACTTTTTCAATATAAAGAATCCCAAGACCAATATAATATAATTTTTTTAAAATTTCTTTTTGTGAATTGATAGTTTTTATAAAAGAACATCAGCTTTACATCATTTATCCTATAATATTTCATTTCATTGAAATGATTACAATCCTCTCCATGCATCATCATTCAACAGCATTTGCTTCCATTCCCTGTTGTTTTTGTTTTGGATGTACACCGAAGCACTCAAGAATATACAGCCATTTAAACAAACAAAGGGCACCCCCTGCAAACCCGCCCCTTGGCTGTCAGCACACAGCACCTCTCCCTCCCTGAGTCCAGGGTCACCAGCCGCTCTATCTCTCCACGTCATCGTCTCTGCCTCCATCTCTGGTGTCACTGCTTCTCTGGATAGGATTCCACACTCTGCTCTTCTCCCTTGATGGTCCCAGGGTCCTCCGCTCCTGGACTGGAAGATCAACCACTCCCCTCCTTTTGTTACAAAACATCTATCTTTATATTTGCAACACTCACAATCAGTCCTGATAGCAATGATTCACAAGAGCAATATAAATTTCATAACAATAACTCTCAATGTGGGAGAAACAGCAAAGTTTTCAATGCAATAAAACTAAATCAGTTATGGAATGTATATCTCTTATCCATTGGCAAAAAAAAACCCACAAAAAAACCACAACTAAATTAGAACAAAGACTCTACTTAAAAGTAAAATGTACCATAAAATCTTCAGCAATTTTTAGTAATGATGAGAAAGGCATTACTTGCTATCTATTTCTGTTTTCCCCCTCATATATACACTGCAGAATATATAACCTATATATGTTTAGGGACATAATCTAAGGCCATACTTACCTCTGAATCTCTATTATTTATAGTAAATATAAGAAACAAAAGTAGATTCTGGATATGCAAAAAATCCACCCCAATACTAAAAGAAGAGTTCTTTCTTGTTTACTTCCATCTCTTAATGGAACCAAAGACAAATAAATGCCCATATTTTGTAACTAGATTTATATTTTCAGTCTTATTCTGTTTCATTCTAACTCACCTACTCCAGCCCAATGATACACAAACAAGTTGCTCTAGTAGTTACTCTTCAAAATCTAGCATTCTACAGTAAAGACAGCAGAACCATCTATTTATTGGGCCTATGTGCCTAAGCAAGCATTAGAAAGTAATTACCTCAAAATGAAAATTTACTGCTCTATGTGAATAGGAATATGTGATTTTTCCTTCTTGCAATAATTTTGTGCTATTTGCTCAATGAGAAAATGACAAATTATTCCAATTTATTCTTGCAAATAAGCATTTTGTGTTTAAAACTCTGAAATGGATAATGTTACTAAGCAAAGACATGCTTTTATGCATCAAACTAGATACTTCCTTACAAAATATTATAACCTGAGACACAAAAGCAGAATGCTAAAAATAGGACTAATATTACAGAAACTTCATCATTTTACAAATTCTATTATAAGATATTTCCTGGCATATAAGCAATGCTATGAATAATTAAAATAAAGCATAATGGACAAACTAAATTAAGGAAGAACATTCTGAAATCTAATATTCTTGAGGGTTTTCTTTTTTTATCAAATTGGTTTGTTGACTCACTGGATTTTGACAATTTGTAATCAGTATTCTAATTACGGCTTAAGAACACCCAAACACTGCTGATTAATATTCAATCTGCATGGAGAATTACAGAGAATTTTACAAATGTAACTGAAAAATGCACAATTGTCAATCTACCAACATAATTTATATTGTTAAACATAAAATAACAATAAAGTAACATTCCAGTACAAGAAGGAAATAAAGAAGGCTACTTTTACATGATTTATTTTTATGAAATTTTTAACCACAAAGGACATAGTAGTATTTTACAAAGCTTCTGCGTCATGAAAAGTTTAAGTTCTTGTTTCAGTTACATCCACATAATGCTAGGCACAAACAGCCAGAGATTTTACAACTTTTGACTTCCCATATCAGTCTAGGTATTTAATGTCTGCTGTAACCTTTCCACCCACCCAACAAATCAATCTTGTACAAGCAGTTTACTCAATTATTCCTGGTACTTTTCCTTTTGTAATTATCACAAAGAAAAAACTTATTTCTAGCTAACAGAACCCTAGCAGACAAACATATCCCTTAGCAACTCCTTGGTTGTGCGCCGAGGAGTCAGTTCTGACTCATACAGATCCTTATAGGGTTTCCTAGGCTACAGATCTTTACGGAAGCCGAAAACCTCATCTTTCTCCGCGAGCAGTTACTAGATTGGAACTGCTGGCCTTGCAGTTAGCAGCCCAATGAAAATAAAATTTAGAAAATCTACCATTTCTATTAGCGTAGTGGTTAGGAATCGGGCTGTGAGCCACAAGGTCAGCAGTTTCGAAACTACCAGCGGTTCCGCGGGAGAAAGATGAGGTGGTCTGCTCCCGTAAAGATTTACAGCCTCGGAAACCCTGCGTAGGGTCGCTATGAGTCGGAACCGACTCCACGGCACATAACAACAATAACAACAACAACCATTTCTATTATATGGAACTTTATTGTCTTTGGCCTGGGCTACAATAAATGGTAAAGTTCAAATTTATATCATCAGACTCAATATCTTACATATAAAATCAAAATTGAAAATTGGATTCAAAGTCAAGAATAAGGGATCTAGTCACTGACTTCACAGTTTTTGCTGAACCATTAACCTCAACATTAAGTATCACTGAGAAACACAAAATAATTACCATTCAATGTGAAACTTACACATGTTGTATAATTCATATTCTCTTTGCCTGAGGCTACTAAGGCAATCGAAGCTGTGAGAACTTGGGTGCATAATTCAAATCTTAACTATTTACAGCAATCGACTTGTTAAACATAAATATACATATATCTGCACTCACTTTACAACCTGTGAATAGACAGTACAATATTTTCTTTCACCCGTTCAGATTCAACTGAATGCTTCCTTGTTTTAATTTTCTGGAACAGAATGGGCTTCTTTAATGTATAATCTCCTCTAATACTAGTTGTCAACAACTCCAGTAAATGATTTAAGCAAAAATAGAGGTTGTAACTTATCAGCCAAAGTAAGATTTTCTGATGATATCTGGCTTTCAATTTCCATGTTATCTTCACATCTCTCTCAGTCCCACTGATAACTAAAAACTGATTTTCTCCCCAGCTCCTCTTTCTTCCCTCTGGCTAGCACTTATTTTTGGTCTCTGCCCTACTTTCACTGGCTTCTGTGTCCTGCATGGTTTTTAGAACACCCACATTTTATTCAACGAAATTTGCATAGGGACAAATAAACTACCCCAGAAGAGCATTTACCCAAACCCAATAAACTCTCCCAGAAGAGTTTATTTGTCCAAACTGCATAATAAAAGGATTATTTCCAGAAAGTTAGTGTATAGTCCAAAAAGTTATGTGCATTAAGGGGGTAGGGAAACCCAGGACACTAAAAACAGACTGCCCAAACTAGAAGTCTCTTCTGTAATGTTATTAAACACATGATGAAGGGGCCAGTGGGATCAGATGCCACCTAAGGCTGTAGATAAAGTATAAAAGTCAGGATTCTAAGGGGGGTGGGGGGGGGGAAGCCTTGACTTTGAACTTTCAAATCCCCAGAATATTGACTTTTATACTTTATCTGTAGTCTCAAATTCCAACCCATTTTCCTGTCTTGACCATGAGTCAGCAAGGAGCAGAACCTGAAGAGTGTAACCAGGGTCTAATGAGCATCTTGAGGGCTCTGCTCTGCTCTGAGTCACAGACAAGACCTAGAAGAATTGTGCCTACAGATTACTGCATGAGCATGGTATAACACCCAGACCCCAAAGGTGCTTAGAAGGTACTCCAGAGTCTGCGCTAGTCCTGAGATGGGAATACTATGAGGCTAGCTGTATGCCTGATGCTCCACTACAGACTAGGAGACTCCTGTGGTTTTCATCACTCAAAATAACAACTTCAATCTGACCCCACTGAGACTATAAACAGCATATCAAGGATAAGGGAAGGCGCTCTGGTAGCGTAGTGGTTATGAATCGGACTGTGAACCTCACGGTCAGCAGTTTGAAACTACCAGCTGTTCTGCAGAAGAAAGATGAGGCTTTCTACTCCCAAAAAGATTTACAGCCTCAGAAACCCTATATAGGGGTCTCTATGGGTCAGAATCAACTCCACGGCACATAACAACAACAACCAGGATAAGGGAGGAG